CGCCTTCCCTCCCGCCTCCCGCCTCGACTCCCCTGCCTCACTCCTCCCGACGCATCACTCACTCCTCACTCCGCCCGTCTCTCCTCTCCCCTACCTCCTCCCCTCCTCCCCTCCCCCTCCCCTCTCCTCCTACCCTCCCCCCCTGACCATTCCCCCTTCCTCTCGCCTCGCGCCCAGCCCAGCCCCGCCACCTCACCGCCCTCCCAGGCGTATCTCTCCGCCCTCAAGCAGCTCGAGCTCGACGTCGACGTGCTCACACGCGTCCTGGCGCCTACTGTATACTTGATGCAGAGCTTTCCGACGTCATTGTGTTTGCCGCTCCGCGCTCGACGCCTGCCGCCGCGCGCGCCCGCGCGCCACCCCTTTTGCGCAGCAACACCTTAAATTTCATGGCCCTCCAAATTCGGGTCGGAGCGTAGCGGAGTGGGCCCCGAGTTTGAAAACGGCGACGGACGCTTGCGTCCTAGCCGCCAACAACGCCTCCCCGGCGCAGAGGGGCCCCCGGAGGGATGCTCAACAACCGCTCCACGCCACGCCGCTTGCGGCGGTCCTATTCCACGCTCGCGGGGGCCGCTTCTTATTTTCACCTCTCTGTTGGCCAACCAACGAGCCAACAACCGCTACCTCTCTATGAGCGGGCTCGAACCACTGCTGTGGGAGTGCATCCGACTGCTATCGGCGTACATGCCACCATCGGGCATGATCCTCGACGCGGGAGCCAACGACGGATCGAGCACTGCGATGCTGGCTCGTGAGTTTCGGCGGCACACGGTCGTGGGCGTAGAGCCCACACGTGTGAATGTGAAGCGCGCTCTCGAACTGACCGCCGGGCTTCAAAACGCAGTCATTCTACGGGGAGTGCTGTCCGAGAGCAGCGGCGCGCTCTCGTATCCACTCAAGTAAAATTCTTCTTGGTTGCACTGACTGTTTCCATGTCGCCGCGCCAGGTTTTCTTTTCTCCACTACCCCGCGGAGAGGCGTGGTCTGCCCCTCTGCTGCGGCCCTGCGCGCTTGCCCTGCGCGCTGTCGCCGCGGCCCGCCCCCCCCGTGGACGCCGAGCGACCGCCCCCCACCCTGATGGCGTCCCCCTCTCTCCCCCCCAGGCGCATCACCCACCATGGCGGCCCAGGTCAGCAAGAAGCGCAAGTTCGTCGCCGATGGCGTCTTTTTCGCAGAGCTCAACGAGCTGCTGACGCGTGAGCTGGCCGAGGATGGCTACTCAGGCGTGGAGGTGCGCGTCACGCCGATGCGCACCGAGGTGATCATCCGCGCGACCCGCACGCAGAACGTGCTCGGTGAGAAGGGCCGCCGGATCCGCGAGCTGACTGCCGTCGTGCAGAAGCGGTGGAATTTTTCAGAGAACTCCGTGGAGCTGTACGCCGAGAAGGTGAACAACCGCGGGCTGTGCGCGGTGGCGCAGTGCGAGTCGCTGCGCTACAAGCTGATCGGCGGCCTCGCCGTCCGCCGCGCGTGCTATGGCGTCGTGCGCTTTGTCATGGAGAGCGGTGCCAAGGGCGTGGAGTGCTGC